GAGTTGAACACTCCGGAATAACCTTTGGGATTCGCACGTCTTGATTCGAACACACCCTTGTTCCGAATGGAATTCAAATCTGGTGAGAGTTGGCTTCGCTATAGCTAGTCCTCGACGTACGACCACAAAATTTCTGTTGCTAAGCGAGACGTTCGTTAAGTGAATTTCGCCCTATTTTACAACCTTTCCGGCCACAGCTGTTAAGCGAATCGCCGCAGCTGTTCAGTTAGTAACAAGTCTGTTAAGTAAATTTGGCTTCCCCACTCACTTTGCTTGATGGAAGGTCGCAAAAGGGGGATCGTAGGACCTAAACGTCGTAAGTACGAGCCAAGCATCCGAATTTTGATCACCTCACCGTGGTCGTGAGAAAAAAAACGGTCGTAAGTCGCTTTTTCCGGTGCCGTTGTGTCTTAAACGGTCACTAAACAAAGGGAGTTGAGGGATTTCCTGTAGTGATTTTGGCCACTTTTTAAAAAAATGAGTGGGGTTCTCGTCTCCGGGTGGCCTTTGGGAGTTTTGTACAATTGTCAAACCCTTGAACAACTGGATTTGGAAATAAAATACAAGCGCTCCAAATAAGTAAGCTGTGGCTATCAGTTAATCTCTCTCTCCTAAACGCCGCCCCTTCCCCTTCCCCAAATCCCGATCCGTTCCCCAAATACCTTGCAACCTATTCAGGAGCCACATTAGCTGCTTCTTGGAGATGCTGGTCCAGCTCAGATCGAGACTGGCTGGCTGTCGTCGGATGATTCCGCTCAGCATGGAGGGAGTGATTGACTTCCGATGGCTCAGGTCGATGTGTGTCCAAAGCCGCTTGTCACAGCACCTGGGAGAGGAGTGAAGTCCGGCCAGAAGGAGACAATGGTCACTGAACTCCAGAATCATTAAGAGTTGGGAAGAATTATTTTTTTAACTTCTCCGAGGCGGAATCTAAATGAAAGCCTCCCAGTCAGAGGATCGTTCGGCCTCCGCTTGGCTTGAATGCACGCCCACCACTCCTCTCGCTGCTTCCATGGCTGAACTGTTTTAATAGTTAGGAACTCTGTTCTAACAATTAATTGAAATCTGCCGCCTGATAACTGAAATCTGACAGTTTGGCCCTGTAATCTAAAAAGTTTGAACTTTCTTCTAAATGACGTCTTTTTCAAGCACTTGAAGAACGCTACGACAGCCCCACCTTTTCTGAAGGGTAACCAGACCCATATTTATCAGCCTCTCTCTGCAGGGCTCACTTTCTAATCACCTACTATATATATATTTTTTGCTGCTATTCTTGTTATATAGTGTGGTTTCTCCAAACTAAACACAGTGTTCAAAACAGGCCTGGACAAAGCAGGGTAAAAGAAAATGATTGCTTCCCATGATTCGGAAAGTATACTTCTATGCGGGCCATTCGGAAATTAACCTCCGTTTGGTTATCAATGACCGACACTCGCAGATGCAGAACTTTTATTATACACGTTAGAAAACTACAACGTCACGTTACTTTTCGACATAGGATTAGGGTTAGTACCGTGTTTCCCCCAAAATAAGACCTACCCAGAAGATAAGACCTAGCTTGATTTTTACACGTGCGCCCAATATAAGCCCTACCCCCCAAATAAACCCTACTTAAGACCCCGCCCACTCCACTGCACCTGGTTGCATGAGGTGGGGCGAGGCGCATGGGTCAAAAATCAAGCTAGGGTGGGGATGGGGGGCGTGGAGCTGCACCCCGCACCTGGCACCCACTTACCTTAGGACTGTTGCAGTCAGGCCTCCCATGCCCCAACACCTGCCTCGCCAGCCCACTTCTTCTGTGGCTGCTTGCGCGCGTCACCCCCGACCTCCATTTCGCTGTCAAGGCCTCTGCAGTCGAGAAACGCGCTCCAGATTGACACGCGCGACGTCCCACAGCCTCCGTTTCGCCCTCAGAGGCCTTCCCGGAAGCGGGGGGCGGGGGAACCGTGCGCGTATCAATCTGGAACTCTTTTCTCGGCTGCAGAGGCCTTTGTGGAAGGCCTCGAACGGCAAAACGGAGGCCGGGAGTGACACGTGTGAGCGGTGACAAGCGGCTGCAGAAGAAGTGGGCCGATGAGGCGAGGCAGGTGTCGGGGTGTGGGAGGCCTGGCTGCGGCGGTCCTAAGGTAAGCGGGTAAGAAATCCCCCCGAAAATAAGACCTGGTGCCTCTTTTGGAGGCCAAAAAAATATATGTAAGACCGGGTCTTATTTTAGGGGAAACATGTTAGTAGTCGCTCGACACCAAGTCTGGGCTATGGGGGAGGTTTATCAAAAACATCCTTAGCAGTGTGCAGTCGAGCATTATCGTGAACCAACACCACTGCGGAAGGGGTGCCATAGAAAATCCCATCAAACGTAAAGAAGCCAAAGGAGTACTGCTAGTGAAGTTCCTGGAGCGTGGTTCGACCATCGATTCAGAAGTCTACTGTGAAACGTTACGAAAACTCAGACGAGTCATCCGTAACAAGCATCGGGGCACACTAACAAGCATCGGGGCACATCGGTGTGGCATTGGTTCACGATAATGCTCGCCCGCACACCGCTAGACCCACCCAAGAACTTCTGAAGCAGTTCCGTTGGGATGTTTTTGATCCTCCCCCCCATAGCCCAGATTTGGCGCCGAGCAACTACTACTAAGGAATTTCAAAGGACTCACTGGAGAAGAGCCTAATGCTGGGAAAGATTGAGGACAATAGAAGAAGGGGACGACAGAGAATGAGGGGGCTGGATGGAGTCACTGAAGCAGTAGGCGTGAGCTTAAATGGACTCCAGAAGATGGTAGAGGACAGGAAGGCCTGGAGGAACGTTGTCCATGGATTCGCGATGGGTCGGACACGACTTCGCAACTAACAACAACAGCAAAGATGTTATGACAAGTGCCTCAATTTGAATGGCGATTACCGTATTTTTCTGTCTATAAGATACACCCTTGTATACGACACTCTGGCAGGCGAGTTTCTCCGCGCCGAACAACTGAGCCGGCAAATCCGGAGGTTCGGCCAGCCGATGATCTTGCCCCCTCCCCCTAGTGGCAAGCCTACAGAGGCTTGACACCTGCACCAGGCGGCATGGCAACCCACATAGGCATGCCCTGGGCTGCGGAGGTTACCGTTTTTTTCCGTGTATAAGACGCTGCACTTGTATAAAGACGCACCTGATTTTTGAACAGGACGTTTGCAGGAAAAAATAGCGTCTTATACATGGGAAAATACGGTATGTTGAAAAATAAATGCAATGTTGTAGTTTTCTAATGTGTATAACAAAAGTTCTGTTTCTGTGAGTGTCTGTCATTGATAACCAAACAGAGGTTTATTTCTGAATTGCCCTCGTACTAATGCACTCCGAAATTGCCCTTCGATGTCTCATTGTTGGTTTATCTTCCAAAATCTTTTTCAGAAGTTGTGTTACCAAGCCAGATATTCTTGTTTCCATCCCAGTTACATTTGCTCTTTCTGAACAAAATTTTAACTTATTTGGGTTAAATTTCATTCTGATAGTTTTCAGCAGATTTCTTCCACTTATCAGGGCTGAATTTCATTTCTCAAGGATATGGGACAGAGTCTCTTTCTTGGCTGCGTTAACTGCATTTTTGTGTGATTTTAGCCAGCTGCTGCGTATTTTATTTTTTTTCTATACACTTTTTACCTACTTTTAAATTGGTTAGCCTCCCATGCATTTGAAATGATGATAGCAATCTAATAAAATGTACAAAGTAAATACATTAGCCATGAAAACGAAACAAACAAAACAAAAAACTTTTACCCTGACCCCATCAGCTACCGGGGTGTGTGGTCTCTGACATGCTGTTCATCACTGGAGATTTTTAAAAAGAAGCCATACAGTCACTTGTCTGAGATGGTATAGGTTCTCCTACTTGAGCAGGGGGCTGGACTAGAAGACCTCCAAGGTCCCTTCCAGCTTCTATTCTATTCTATTCTATTCTATTCTATTCTATTCTATTCTATTCTATTCTGTTCTGTTCTGTTCTATTCTATTCTAATTTTCTATTCTATTATTCTATGGTATGGTATGGTATGGTATGTTATGGTATGGTATGGTATGGTATGGTATGGTATGCTATTCTTTCTAATTCTATTCTATTATTTTTAATTCTAATTAATTCTAATTCTATTCTAATTCTAATTCTAATTCTAATTCTAATTCTAATTCTAATTCTATTCTACTCTACTTGCAAACAGAGCCCTCTGCATAAAAGTTGGGTATCCCTATATTCAAGCTTTGGTTCATTGATAGCCATACTATATTTTGAGGGAGCACAAAGTCATTCAGAAGTAGGTACATAAAAGATTGCCTTTATCTATGTACGACACTTTTGAGGTCAGTTGGAGCAGATGTATTCCTGTAGCGATTAGCCTTCAACCCTGACATGCTGTCTGAACCTGACAGTTTTTCAATATGGAGAGAACTCATTCCATACAAAGATGGCCACGCATGAATAAGTGGTGATTTCCTGGTATTTAGGGAGGAGGACGCCGAGGATCACACGGGACAGGATGCACAAAACAGCTCAGTGAGTACCTGCAGAAATAAACAGTGCAGGACTCCCTGGTGCATGCACATAAATTGTACCTCTGCAACCGCCACGTTAATCGCCATGACAAGTTTTTAATGCTGCAGGATCCAATCTGGGTCGGTCACCGGGACCAGAGGTTTAGTCTTCGGAGATTTTGGACTCGTTCTGGAGCCCATCCCCAAGGAACTTCCCTCTCCCCTTCTGTTTAACTGAGGATGAGCTCAAGCAAGAGTCCGAAAGCTCGGAAGACTAAATGTCTGCTCCCGGTGACCGACCCAGATTGGATCCTGCAACATTGTCCTGGGACACGTGTATTGGCCTCCATTTGTGAGTTTTTAAGGCCGTTAACTTGTTGGCCTCATCGTGGATTCCTGGGCATGGCAACACTTGCCGTTTTTCTCTCTCCCCTCCTCTGCATCCACACAATCTGCTTGTTGAACCCGAGGCTCCCATCTCGCTGGAAGGAGGGCTGGCCAAAGAAAGCGGACCAAGACAGCCCTGAGGTCCGACGTTCGTGGCAAGGAAGTGGGCCAGGAGGTAGCCATCAAATTTTATCCCCTATTAATCCAACCACACAACCTCCCCGTGTTTCCCCCCCCCACCTAGGTTGCCAGGTCATCTCTTTTGCTCGCTAGCCCGCTCACCCGCCCGCTCACTCACCAACGGCTCCATGTCCGGCACACCCTCATGCAAACGCAAAGCTCCCGATAGCTGAGGTACTGGAAGACGGCCAACCAAATGTCCCGCTGCATGATGTGGTCAGAGCCGCTGTCCAAGGGCAGGGAGTCAGGTTCAGGGCTGTCTGGGGGAGGCCGGATCACGTGCCTCTCCAGCTGCAGCAGAGGCTTGGGAGGGGACGGCACCAAAGGCCAGTTAAGAAACTGAGTCCGGGCTACCATGCGGAGCCCTGTCTGTCCAGCAGGCCGGCCGGCTTTCCGGCTTCCCGCCTGCTGCTTGGCCCGTTCGCTCCCCCTGCTGGACGGGCGATGATTGTTCTCTTTCTCCTGAGAGTTCCCCAGAGCTTTCGGCTGCTTCCCGTTCCGTGTCGTCTCCGAGCCGCCGTTGCGTCGCCCACCCTCCTCTTCGTCCTCCTCCTCGTCCTCGTCGTCCTCCTCCTCCTCACTGGCGCTGAAGCCCAGGGCAGCCAAGCGCTGCGAGCGGGTGGTGGGGGAGTTGGCTCGGCTGGACACCCCTCCGCTGGAACCGTCGGAGCCCCGGGAATCCGTGTCAGAATCCGAGTCCGAGCTGGAACTGGAACTGCTGCTGTTCTTCACCCGCTCCAACATCTGGCACATCTGCTTGAAGCGCTCCAACTTCTCCCGCTGATGGGACTTGTCGGTCTGGGCGGAGGGCTCCAAAGGCCCAGGGGGTCCCTTTGGTTTCTGGAAAGGAAAGGAAAGAGTTTNCCTCCTCGTAGCTGACAGAATCGGTGTCTCTCCTCAACTAAGACAGCTACAGCCATCTTGGGAGGAGTGGGGGGACAACAGCAGGACAGGGAAACAACTTGTAATGTCTTAAAAATCTTCCCTCTGAATGTTTTTGTCCTTAAAGTAGTCAGCAACATTAAAAATAGAAATTTGGACTCTTAATATGAGGTATCTTTAGGATACTTTTTATCTGTTCATATAAGGCAGGACAAGAAGCAATGGATGGAAACTAATCAAGGAGAGAAGCAACCTAGAACTAAGGAAAAACTTCCTGACATTTAGAACAATTAACCAGTGGAACAACCTGCCTCCAGAAGCGGTGAATGCTCCAACACTGGAAGTTTTTAAGAAGAGACTGACACCATTCTCTCCCCCCCACTTTTTTTCTATCTTTTAGAGAAAAAGGTGGAAAAAGAAACAATCTTCCAGTATAATAATAGAGCTCTTAAAAAAAAAAAAGGTTTTTTCTGTACCCCAAAGTAGATAAGAATAAAGTGTAGTCCGAAATGGTATAGGGTTTCCTGCCTGAGCAGGGGGTTGGAGTAGATGACCTCCAAAGTCCCTTCCAACTTTACTATTATTATTATTATTATTAAACCACATGCCCCTTCCCAGGAAAAGATGAAAAAGACAATACCATCGCACTCCAATCAAAGCCTTATACACACTCCCTTTGATTTTTAGGTTGGCAGGACAGCTGGATATCAACGCATTTTATAAATAAAATTTTTCCAGCATGAGAAAGCATCCTTCAGCCGGTTCTCTAAATATGCTAACCACAGTTCATGGCTAGATAGTCAAGGTTACAATGAATGCGTTATCTATGGGCTTTGCCAAGCAAAAAGCATTTTGACATTCCGATTGGTCAGATCTGTAAGGGGAACATATGGCAGAAAAGTAAAATAAAGATAACCATGAAATAAACAAAAACCGCCTGCAATTCCCCAGAGCTCAACTTTTCAGAAGCAGGAGGCAATTGTTAAAGCCAACAGCAGACATGAAGGCCAAGAACTGGGCTTTTAGAAAATGTTTTTTTTTAATGTTATGGCCTGCTTGAAGGGTTTATTAGGGTACAGAAATTATAAATCGAAAGCATGCACAATCATGCCGTTTTCCTACAGACCAAAAAATTATTTTGCTGTTTTAGTGGAGTGTTGTGTACTACTCTTGTGAGACCCTTCCTATGAGATGGGCAGCCATATAAATTTGATTAAAAATCAAAATAAAGAGGCTTCTATCCTTGATGGCCTTCAAGAAGGAGAGCATTTCTCATCTGCTGCCATCTATGCCCACTTGAGGTCATTCAGCAGGAGGCTGGCCAGATCCTGAGAAAGGGGCTCATTACTTCCACAATGGCTAGGGCAGAGGTAGGCAATCTTGGCTCTTTTATGACTCGTGGACTTCAACTCCCAGAATTCCTGAGCCAGCATGGGGGAACTATGGCCCCTTCATGACTCGTGGACTTCAACTCCCAGAATTCCTGAGCCAGCCATGCTGAGGGGAAGGGGAGAGGTTTCCAAGCTGAGCCGTGCTGGCTCAGGAATTCTGGGAGTTGAAGTCCATGAGTCATGAAAGACCCAAGATTGCCTACCCCTCTTTTATGACTCGTGGACTTCAACTCCCAGAATTCCTGAGTCAGCCATGCTGAGGGGAAAGGGAGAGGTTTCCAAGCTGAGTTGTGCTGGCTTAGGAATTCTGGGAGTTGAAGTCCACGAGTCATGAAAGAGCTACGGTTGCCTACCCCTCTTTTATGACTCGTGGACTTCAACTCCCAGAATTCCTGAGCCAGCCATGCTGAGGGGAAAGGGAGAGGTTTCCAAGCTGAGTTGTGCTGGCTTAGGAATTCTGGGAGTTGAAGTCCACGAGTCATGAAAGAGCTACGGTTGCCTACCCCTCTTTTATGACTCGTGGACTTCAACTCCCAGAATTCCTGAGCCAGCCACGCTGAGGGGAAAGGGAGAGGTTTCCAACCTGAGCCACGCTGGCTCAGGAATTCTGGGAGTTGAAGTCCACGAGTCATAAAAGAGCCAAGGTTGCCTACCCCTGGGCTAGGGCTATGAGTGGTCCTCGTTACATGACGACAGCTCCTTCTACAAGCCCAAGAAAAGTGGGGCGGAGCATGAAAAACCGACACCTGCTGAAAACTAACTAAGCCACAGATATACACATCTAAATCCCCCTTCTAGTTTCTTGCTCAGAACGCGGTGTGCGAAAGCACGGTGGAAGCACCGGAACCAGGGGATGTGACGCTTGTGTAGTTACTGGAATCAACCCTGCACTCGTAACAGATTGGTTACTAGCAGCTCCCAACCTTTTCTATACCCCGCGCCCCTAGAACGCTTCTGAGCCATTCTCGTGCCCCTTACAAAAGTTCGCAACAACGGCAACGAATTATGCACAGACACTATGATTTTGAAAAGCCAAGTTTTCGCACTCCCTGGAATATCATCTCACACCCCCGGTTGGCAACCCCTGGGTCAGGGGTAGGCAACCTTGGCTCTTTTATGACTCGTGGACTTCAACTCCCAGAATTCCTGAGCCAGCCATGCTGAGGGGAAAGGGAGAGGTTTCCAAGCTGAGCCGTGCTGGCTCAGGAATTCTGGGAGTTGAAGTCCATGAGTCATGAAAGACCCAAGGTTGCCTACCCCTCTTTTATGACTCGTGGACTTCAACTNCATGACTCGTGGACTTCAACTCCCAGAATTCCTGAGCCAGCCATGCTGAGGGGAAAGGGAGAGGTTTCCAAGCTGAGTGGTGCTGGCTCAGGAATTCTGGGAGTTGAAGTCCACGAGTCATGAAAGAGCTAAGATTGCCTACCCCTCTTTTATGACTCGTGGACTTCAACTCCCAGAATTCCTGAGCCAGCCATGCTGAGGGGAAAGGGAGAGGTTTCCAAGCTGAGCCGTGCTGGCTCAGGAATTCTGGGAGTTGAAGTCCACGGGTCATGAAAGAGCTAAGGTTGCCTACCTCTCTTTTATGACTCGTGGACTTCAACTCCCAGAATTCCTGAGTCACCCACGCTGAGGGGAAAGGGAGAGGTTTCCAAGCTGAGCCATGCTGGCTCAGGAATTCTGGGAGTTGAAGTCCATGAGTCATGAAAGAGCTACGGTTGCCTACCCCTCTTTTATGACTCGTGGACTTCAACTCCCAGAATTCCTGAGCCAGCCATGCTGAGGGGAAAGGGAGAGGTTTCAAAGCTGAGCCATGCTGGCTCAGGAATTCTGGGAGTTGAAGTCCACAAGTCATAAAAGAGACAAGGTTGCCTACCCCTGGGCTAGGGCTATGAGTGGTCCTTGTTACATGACGACAGCTCCTTCTACAAGCCCAAGAAAAGTGGGGCGGAGCATGAAAAACCGACACCCGCTGAAAACTAACTAAGCCACAGATATACACATCTAAATCCCCCTTCTAGTTTCTTGCTCAGAACGCGGTGTGCGAAAGCACGGTGGAAGCACCGGAACCAGGGGATGTGACTCTTGTGTAGTTACTGGAGTCAACCCTGCACTCGTAACAGATTGGTTACTAGCAGCTCTCAACCTTTTCTATACCCCGCACCCCTAGAATGCTTCTGAGTCATTCTCGCGCCCCTTACAAAAGTTTGAAACAACGGCAACGAATTATGCACATACACTATGATTTTGAAAAGCCAAGTTTTCGCACTCCCTGGAATATCATCTCACACCCCCGGTTGGCAACCCCTCGGTCAGGGGTAGGCAACCTTGGCTCTTTTATGACTCGTGGACTTCAACTCCCAGAATTCCTGAGCCAGCCATGCTGAGGGGAAAGGGAGAGGTTTCCAAGCTGAGCCGTGCTGGCTCAGGAATTCTGGGAGTTGAAGTCCATGAGTCATGAAAGACCCAAGGTTGCCTACCCCTCTTTTATGACTCGTGGACTTCAACT